CTCTCCACGTCACCACGCTTTAGTTCTTCATTCTACGTGCCTTGTGTAACACACTAACGCCCATGTGTAACACAACCGCAACACTATAGACTCCAACATCCTTGCATATGTACGAGCCACACTCCGAATATTCTTGTCAACTAACACTCTCTCTGTGTCATTGCACCAACATGTCAAGCTCCAAATCCTTGAGCTTACAAACTCTACTAACTTTGGTTCCATCGCTTTTCTTAAGCTCTTTGCTCTCCTTGAAAGTTGCCCATGAAAGCAGATTTTCTACTACTCCAGATTCAGCCACTGACACAAAAGCAAATTTAACCACTCTTCTAGATACATCAGTGACAGCAAAGCACACATACCTTTGTTCAAAATATCTTCAGAAAGTTCACAATAAGAACCGAAACTGCTCTGACGTAGAGTCAACGTTTCTTTTGTTTGAGAATCAAACGCTGGATTGTCAATAAGGGAGTTGACAAATACCCACAGATGGTTCTTAACATTGTGAGCTCTAACGTAAGCGTTTTCTTTCTTCATGTACACAATATCAACGATGTAGTTTGTGATCTAACTCGTGACATAATCCACATGCGTACCACCTTTGATTGTTGCAATAGAGTTGACAAAGCTCACCTTGTAACACACCAGAAAACTTTTACTCAACTGTCATGACTCATGAGACTAATAGGAACCTAATACCATCTTTATCGCTGAAACCGGTAGACTGGTTTCAGCATTCCTTTTTTTAAGAACCCACCTAAGGTTCGGCGATAACTATGCCCTAAGACCATGATTAACCCCGGTCTCTTAGCCGAGGTTCTTAATATCCAGTAAAATGCATACCTGTTTAAACTGTCCTTCACTTATGCTCACACAAACCTCCCATCTGTCATTAACTTTCTCAATCATCCTAACCTCAACAAAAACAAACACAAAGGATCAAAACTAATTCAAAGATATAGTCTTACTTATAACATCAATTCAAAATAAACAAACCTTGGGAGAGGTTCACTCCTTGACTTGTTAGCAGCACTTAAGTACAAATCAACATAATCACCAAATGATTTTATTGGAATCTGCTTCCCATTCAGCTTCACCTTCACAGTCTTTCCTAAACACCCAGCAATATCAAACACTCTTTTGGTCATTAAAGCAACCACATCATCTTCTAAATGAGTCATCTTGAACTTCCCTAAGTCTGGTTTGAACGAGACTTTGGTCCAGTTATCACTCTTCTTGCACTTGGTTATCACCGGTACTGACTTCTTCCCCATGTTGTTTTCAAACACCTAGACATTAATCCCCAAAAACATATGCCAAAGATGCAAACATTACACAGAAGCTTGTAAATATCAAATCATATACAAAGACCAAAGTTAAATTTAGAATTTGTCTAAAATCATCCTTAGCCAAAGGCCTTAAGCAGCAATACAAGAACCATCAACAAACATTAAATGACAAAATTAACAAACTTTACACCAAAGCTTGAAACAGAGTGCGTGTATATATGTCAAAGCTTGAAACCTATGCTGCATGGAATCGGAAGCGGGGACGTGGAAGCGGAAGCGTAAGGAAGCGTAGAAGCGGAAATTATAAAATATTTAGGAAGCGGGTACGTGTTGGAAGCGTTTTATATATATATATATATATATATATATTAATATATATTAAAACAGTAAATAAGATTAAAAAATTAAATAACAAAAATCCAACAGATAATATAAATAGTGAAGTTAAACATAAATATTTTAGCAAAAAAAAAAAGAACACAACATGACATAAAAAATTCAAGCTTCAAAATCATATATTGAACTCATCATTGTTCTCATTTTCACCTTCTCCACCAAACAAAACAGCTTCCAATTCTGGTTCATCAAGAGAAAAATCTTCAAACTCAAGTCTTCCTAAATTAATCTCATCGAGTGAATCAAACTGATCACCTCCAACATCCCACATACAGCTAGGACCTTCCTTATAAGCAGAGCTCCTTCTTGATAGAAGACGTAGGTTAGTGTGCACAAATACCAAATCTTCAGCTCGTCGGGGAACAATCTTGTTTCTTATAGCAGAATGAATGAACTTGTAGGTACTCCAATTCCTTTCGCAGCATGAGGATGAAGATGGTTGTCCAAGTAACTTAAATGCTAAGATTTGAAGTTTTGGTGCTGAAGATCCATGAACTGCCCACCATCTCAAAGGTTCTAAGATAAACCTATCATGAATCACATCAACACTACCAAAATCCTCCATGCATAAAGAGAAGTTAGAATATTCAACGTTAACCTCTCTCCTTTCATCTTGATCTGGAAAATACTTCATGATGCAATTTTTTCTCTCTCTAGTAACTTCCAAATCTTGATGTGGAGCTTTTCTACTGTTTTCTTCTGCAAGCCACTCGGAACTATAGTATCTGCGTCCAATAAAAATATGTAATAGTTAAAATCTTTCTGATCCAAAAACCAATTTTACCATTTTTATAAGTTCATAAACAGAATAAAAACAGATTTATAAACTTACTTGGGGTTAAGAGAATGAGCCATACAATGAAGTGGAGTGTTACTCTTACTCCAACGAGAAGTCAAAATCGAGTGCACTGCAGTCCAAAAGACTGAATCTTCATTAAGTTGTTTCCTTTCTTTCTTGAAGATAGCTCTCTTGACATTCTGAATCATACTTTCCCACCATTCATAAACCAGATGAAGAGACGGTTTATCAGTATCAGCAGCTCTAATCACACTATAAATGGGCAAAGTGAAAGATAAAGCATATTCAAGCTCCTCCCAAAACTTCTCATCTAATATCTTTTTCTTCACTGCAGATGCTCTCTCTACACCGTCTTCTTTATAATCATCCCACTTAGGACTGATCACCATTTGTTGTAACCCAGTCTTTATTTTTCTGAATCTCTTTAACATTACAACCGTGGACGCAAACCTGTAAAAATAACTAATGATCATTAATTTGAAGATTAAGAATATGAGTAAGCTCTCAATTAACAATATAGAAAACTAACCTTGTAGAAGCAATTGTGAGAAGCTTAAGATTACAATGCTCAGTGAACATTACAAGCCTCATTCTGTGATTCATGATATAATTCTTGATCCAATTCACATCTTCACTGATAGACTTTATCCAGTAACAAGCATCATACACCGCTTCATTATTTCTTGTGCTCAGTAATGGTGAACATATATTCTTCAGAGCAAGGTTCAAGGTATGAACCACACATGGAGTCCAAAAAATAGTAGGAAACTTGGCTGAAATAAGTGCACCAGCTTTTACACAATTTGAAGCATTGTCAGTGACAACTTGAACCACATTTTCATGCCCAGCCTCCTTTATGCCTTCTATGATCAGCTCTGCAATCATCTCACCGGTTTTTGTCTCACCATGAGTATTGATCGCCCTTAACATCATTGGACCACTCTCATTTGCAGCAATCAAGTTAAATATTGGTCTTCGTTGTGGATCTGACCAACCATCACTACATATACTCACTCCTTTTTGTTTCCATGTGTTCTTCAAAGGTTGCAAATGCATCTCAATGTTCTTTCTTTCGTTTTGAAGAAGTGTAGTTCTCAATGCATTATACCCTGGTGGAACATATCCTGGAATCTGGGAAGCACGCACATATGAATTGCGGTAGTGAGGATTTCTTGCAAGGTTAAAAGACAAGCCACCTGTGTAAAACATCCTAGATACCTCACCATCACATTGCTCCCTAGCTTCATTCTGAAATGCTTTCTCCAAAGGACCCTGCTTTCTCTTTTTTGGATCAGACTCAGTTGCATTTGGAACTTTGTAGCTCATATCATAATCAAGAGAAGAACTAGATATGTTCCTTGATGACGAAGGAAGTGGAACTGCTTTAGGAGCTGCACGCTGTATCCTCTCTTTGCAAGTATCAACTAATTTTTTCAGGTTAACTCTTTGTTGAGGAGTGACTTTCAAACATCTTTTAATTCCTTTTCCCTCTTGCAGCAGATGAGTCACAACTCTACTATGAGATCCAACATATGAATTACTACAGAACTTGCATTCAAATCTCCATGTTCCTCCTCCAGCTAGCTTCTCAATTTTGTTCATATAGATCCACAAAGGTGCTTTGTCATCCACATTTGAGGACTCATCAATATTTAAAGGATCTTGAGACATTAGTCCTATAAAAAAGTTTTGTTAGTTTTCTATGAATAAATCAATATCACAAAGCTATGTACACTAAGCCACTTATAATAATACTATATTTATAATATTTACACTGAAATTGAAAACCATAAAACTGCAGCACATGTATTTAACTTATCCTCACTCACGATCAAAAACAATATGCAAACCACATACATAAAAGACAAACAAGTGACAACACATCAAACAAAGCACAATACCTGATTATTTATCATATATAACTTACGTACCTTTGCTTATCTTCTTTCCTCTCAGAATCTGGATAAAAGTTAAGCTTGAAGAAATAACAGAGCTGCTTCTTACGGTAAAAAATCTAAAGTTTTATTCATTTTAGTTTATTTGGTAACTAGGGTTTTGTTATTGTAATGGGCTAATTGGGTCACATATTACAAAACAAATACAGATTTAAAAGCCCAAAACAGTTTTTGGGTTTTTTTAAAACATATGTCGCTCATCTCCCCGAAACGCTTCCGTCAACCATCTATGAAAGCTTCCAACTCTGAATCGCGTGCTTCCATTACGGTTCCAAACGTCTCAATATCCGAATCGTGATTCCATGACGATTCCGCACGATTCCGAGCGATTCCGTTTCCGGTTCCGCTTCGGAAGCATGAAACGCATGCTCACCAACGATTCCATGCTACGTAGCTTGAAACAGAGTGTCTGTATATATGCTAAAGATGAAAAATTCACACAGAAGCTTGAAATAGAGTGTGTGTATATATGCTAAAGATGCAAACTTCACACAGAAGCTTGAAAGAGAGAGTGTGTATATATATATGCTAAAGATGTTACACAGAAGTTTGAAACAGAGAGTGTACATATGCTAAATATGCTAACTTTACACAGGAGCTAGAAACAGAGTTTGTGTGTGTGTGTGTGTGTGTATATATGCCAAAGATGCGAACTTTACATAGAAGCTTGAAAACAGAGTGTGTGTGTGTGTGTGTGTGTATGCTACACAGAAGCATTGAACAGAGTGTGGATATTCAAAAGGTGCAAATTTTATTCAGAAGCTTGAAACAGAGTGTATGTATATATGCCAAAGCAAACTTTTCACAGAATCTTGAAGCAGAGTTTCTGTATTTGCCAAATATGCCACAGAATCTTGAAACAGAGTGTGTGTATATATGCTAGAGATGCAAACTTTACACATAATCTTGAAACAGAATGTTTGTTTATATGCCAAAGATGTAAACTTCACACAGAAGCTTGAAACAGAGTGTGTCTACATATACATATGTAAAAGATGAAAACTTCGCACAGAAGCTTGAAACAGAGTGTGTCTATATAAGCAGAAAAATGAAAACTTTACACAGAATCTTGAAACAGAGTATGTATAAGATGCAAACTTTACACAGAATGCTTGAAACAGAGTGTGTGTATATATATGCTAAAGATGCAAACTTTAAGCTTGAAACAGAGTATGTTGTGTGTGTTATCAGTTACCTGCTTGTACTGCTTCTGCCTCTTCCCATCAGCAGTTTCAATGGTAAACTCAGTAGAGAAGATATTAGTAAGCTTCGCACCATACCCATTTCTTCCACCAGTCGTCTTCTTCACATTATCATCATAGTTACTACTCGTCAACAAATGACCAAAAATCATCTCAGGCACATAAACCCCTTCCTCCCTATGAACCTCCACGGGGACTCCATCTCCACCGTTACAAACACTGATGAGATTCCGCGCGACGTCGATCACGACTTCGAGGGAATCCATCTTGGGGTCTCTCTGCTTGTTGTCGGCCGCGTTGACGAGTATCTCGTCGAAGATCTTGTAGAGCCCCGGGACGTAGGTGACGGGGCGGTTGACCATCTCCTCGTTCTCGTAGACCCAGAGGGTCTGCGTGTGTTTCTCGATGGATCCTATGTAGGTGTCGGGACGGAGGAGGATGTGTTCGAGCTGTGACTTCTTCTGGTACATCTCCTCGATTGTCTTCTTGGGACGCGGGGCATTGACGTTGTTGTTGTTGGTTTGTAGCGGTTTGGTGGCCATGGAGAGAGAGTTTCAGATTATGAAATTGCTATTGAAGCGGGATGATTTTAGGTTTTTTAAACGACTGCAAGGTTTGAAGAAGAGAAAACTGAATATTTGAAGTTTAAATGATATTTATAATAATTTTAGAGGTCAATTTAAAGGCTATCTAAAGCCCAATTAGAGCCCAAGTGTTGTCAAACAAGTAGTAACGTAACCCATATACGGGAAGAACCAAGTTAGCTAGTAATAATATATGAATGAACTGAAGCCTCTCTTGGCTCTTGTGTTATTTTTTTCACATATGTTTTCTTCCTTTTTTAAAGGAATTTTCTTCATTTTTGGTTGATATTTAATCACACTATGATATATTCATAATTTTCGACATTTCTCTGTTTTTATGTTTATAGCATTTTTGGTAAATGCATACGCTTACACCTATTTAACATGGTAAAAATTAGCCATGCGGTTAACCAAAACCAAAAATTTGAAAATAACTCAGAAATCAACCGAATTGCTTTGAATTGGTTACTGGTTTCCAATTTTATTTCCAAAATAACCTATTTTTCGGGTAGAATTTGATATATTGTTTTTTCAAAAAGTAACTTCGGTAATTTGGTTCAGTTTTTTTCAGTTGTTTTCTGGTTTTTATATATTTACAAAAAAAACAAAAACTTAACCAGTACCCAGAATCAAACCATTTTTTGAAAACCCTACTGAACTAAACCGAAGATCATAACCGAACCAAAAAAAAAAAAAGTTGTGTATAAGTTAAAATAATTAGACTAGCTACTGTTGCCTAAAATCTTTTAAAAAAAAGAGAGAGGCTAAGTACATGGTTATGTATAGTTAAAAGTTGTCTGGACATGATAGAAATATAGGGCTGGGACTTAATATCCGCTATCCGATCCGCTCCGAAAAAACGGATATCCGAGGGGTCCGGATCCGGATCCGGATAGTGATTTCACGGATCCGGCGAATCCGGATCCGAATCCGGATAGTGAAATTTTCGGTCCGGATATCCGGATCCGGATCCGGGCCCACTAAATATTTTAAAAAATATTTAAAATATAATTATATTCATATAGTATATTATATATTTTTTATTAAATATAACTAATACTTAATTTTTTAGTAGTTTCTATTATTTTAATTTAACTTTTTTCCAAAATAATATTTTTTAATAGAATAAATAAATACTAAACTTTTAATTTTTAATGTTTTTTTATTTTTCTTTTAAAATAAATCGGATCCGGATATCCGCGGGTATCCGAGTTTTAGTCCGGATATCCGGACCCCGGATATCCGGATGGCCCGGATCCGAATCCGGATCCAGATCCGGATATCTTAAAATACCCCGGATATCCGATCCGTCCCACCCCTATAGAAATATCATACCATCCATTATGTTTTTTTTTCTTTTGCCTAAATACCATGCATTATGTTCCGTTTTCGATTTTTTACATGCTTTTTATATTTAGGAAATAACTGATTTCATACGCTTTTATGAAGGTTTTCTAACTTCTTAAGTTCAAAGACGAAAATGTATAAAAAACAAAAATGAAAGCGTGGTACGTTTCTAGAATGCTCCAACTGCTAAAGATTCTGTAATTAACACTAACAAACAATGATGGGACTAGTTAATCCTAAAATGCTTTTCCCCGACATCACAACAAAGATTTGAGAGTGATTGATGATTAACTGCATAAAATGCGAGAGTCACGTGTTCCACCTACCTAATACCATTATTAATTATCATTCATTACATCAAATCCAAATCTCGACGTAAAGTTATGTGGTTCCCATCACCAACAACAACATAAAACATATTCCCTCCGTTTCAGTTTATTTGTCATTCTAGGTTTTTACACACAGATTAAGGAAACATTTAATTTTACATATTTTCAATAAAAAAACACAATTACCAATACATCTAATCACTTTTCAACCAATAGAAAAATAGAATATCATATAAATCTAATAAATTTTGTCTCGAAACTCTAAAACGACACTTATTTTGAAATGAAATTTTTCCTCTAGAATGACATATAATTCGAAACGGAGGGAGTATGATTATACAATCAAAACTCCTAAAAACCCTATATAAATAAAACAAAAGCTTATACGTTGTTTTGAGCCAATGAACAGACATGGCCACATCTTTGCACATTCCAGTGAAATATTGATTAATTAGTTTCTAAATTTTGAAAATTATATGTAGATATAGATTCAAAATTATGAAATAAAAATTCTTAGTAAATATTTATAGCGTGTATATTTTCTGATCCGGTCATGTCAACTCAACACATCTCTTATTCATGAAATAGAAAGGTTCAAGGCAGATACATTTTATTTTGAAAATATTACACCATAAGACAGTTTTAAGTTTTTTATATCACTATAGGACAGTTTTTGCTACTAGAGCAGTTTTTTCTAACCAAAACTCACTTTTTACCTGTATGCTAACTAATTAAGTTAACTAACTGTAAAGTTGACCAACCAAACATTTAAAAAGCAAGTGGATTCTAACATCTTTCTCTCTCTCTCTTTTTTTCTTTTACTTTGGCATTTTTTTTAAATCTCATATGAGATGCTTTTTCTTTTTCTAAAAGCTTTACATATATGTCACTAACCAGATAATGAAATAATCGACAACCCAACGGCGGCGTTCGATTAGGCGAAATTGCAATGAAAAAACACAAAAAATAAGAACAAATTGTTGTCGCAGACTCGAACAATGATGAATTTGTGTTCTAGATTCAAGAACTGTGAAACCCCAGATGATGAAAGCTAAAGAAAAGTTGATTATTTTGGTGTTTGTTGTTGACGGAGTAAAACGAGTTACAGTTCGAAAGCTCCAATTCTTCTCCCTCTCTCTATCCTCAGCTCCTCCGTCCAAGATGCCAATGAGCTAAAAATCCCCAATTTCTGCAAAATTCGTAACCCTAAAAAACTTGGGAAGAAGATGAAGTAATTACGATTATGCCATTGATGGATTAATTATTTTTGAAAATTCGTGTACATGTAGAGATGTATACATTTGTACATTCTAGGTGTACATGTTTATTAATTAAGTGTACACATATGTTTGAACATATGTTTGAGACACATGTTACATGTTCAATATGTTGTAAAGTTGTGTACATTTATTAGTGTACATGTGTAAATTAAAGGTTAGTGACATACATGTGTCCAACAAATGTTGTAATGTACATGACATAGGTGTACAAAATCACAATGTACATTTACAAAATCACATTGTACATAAATTTACATGTAATACATATGTAAGGACAAGAAAATATCAGAATGGACATATGATATATGATTTTTTCTGATTTTCGCTCAAACATTTTAATTTTGATAATTAAATCCAATTCTTTTTTACATTTGTTTTCTCAATTTATACACACTTTTTTGTTTTGTTTTATGTACAACCATATGACGTCCATGTGTACAATCATATGACGTCCATGTGTACACATAAGTTTTACTATCATGTACAATACATTCACTTATATAATATTGTCCACGTGTACACCAATGCATATATACCCACATGTAAGAGTAATTTTGTTTTTGAGCAAGAATAACAAACGACTTATGTGTACACTTTGTGACTTGTACACTTGTAGAAACTTGAAAAAAAAATTAGAAGTTTATGACAAATGGACATGTTATTTAAAGGTGTTTTCATGATTAACATATACATTTTCAAAAGAAATTTACATGTACACATATGTTTTTAACTATCGACAAAGACTAACGTGTATAATATACATGTTATATTTTATTAGATATTTACATGTACACATATATTTGAGATACATGTTAGATGTCCAACATGTTGTAAAGTTGTGTACATTTGTTAGTGTACATGTGTACATTAAAATTTGACGACGTACATGTGTACAATAAATATAATAGTGTACATGTGTACAACACCATTCAAAGATGAAATGGTAGTAGAATATGATTTTCAGATCATTACACAAAGCATTATAAGTTGATTCTGAAATATGATAGTGTACATGGTTACTTTGTTATAATAATGATATATTTGGAGTGAATAATTGAAAGTTTAACGCTAAACTAAGAGGTTATTTATGAAATTTGAAAAGTTAAAAGTCGAATAAAAAACTTCCAGAAATTTAAGGATCCATTTTTGTAATTATGGAAGGTCTGATCTATACAATTGAAAAGTGAAGATTCAATTTGAAATAGATATATTTGCAAATCAGAAACTTTTGAGGCAAAAATGAATATACTCAAAAATTGAAGGACCATATGTGGAATAAAACAAAAAGTAGCCATTGTTGCTCATAAAGCTTTCGTTACGAAGTAAAGTCGCGTCGGAGAAGCTCGAATGGATCACGACTTTCCTTGCAGGTCTAAGAAGGTGATCAGATGGTAATAAATCATGGTGGGTATGAAGAGATCGTGGATTGATTTCATCTTTTTTTGCCATTAAAATCATTGTTTTCCAGATTTAGAGCACCCCCATTAGAGGATTTAAGGGGGGGTTCACAC